TGTGAAAAACATTAGTAACACAAGCAACTAATAGAATTTTACGAATAACTTTGATGGGTTATCTGCTTATTGTGTCATACACCCTACTCATAATTTGTTTCACATTTTTCACGTTGTGGCCTTTTAGAGACAACTATACAATATGGGTTTTTCTCATTGTTGAAGGCTGTACAGTTGCCTATAATTGCTTACATCCACTTCATTTGAATTTGATCGATAGTTGTCTCATTGGCATTCATACATCTCCTTATTTTTATATTGGTAAAGATTTGACATTTTTAATTAGCATTAATTAAGAGCATATATAAGTGGACAATCATTTCATTTTTAGGGGGTATGGCAGGAGGATTTCTCTTGCACTATACAAATCCTTGCTCACGTATATAGTTGAATAAAAATCCACTTTCCGGAATGAGGTACCGATAACTGTTTCAAAATTAATCACCACTTTTTAAAGGACATAAGCGGCCAATCTCCATCAACAGATCTTGGTTGTCAACAAACGAGTTACTGATGCAGGGAAGGAGCCTGATTTCTTTAAATATATCTACAGAATAACCGGGTAATTAGTTTGTAAGTGCTGCTTCAGTGTTATAATTCCCATCTCAAGCTTACAGTTTTTTTTTGCACAAAGCTACATCACGCATTTTGTCGAATTCTCGCGTCATAGACAAGGTTAGAATTCCCGGGAAATTGCAAGCTTTTATAATTTTATCTTGATTTTTATATACATTGATACATGATCATGAAGTACATATAACATTCCACTGAGAAAATCTGCCTTTTTAGATTTTACTAAATTCTTACATCTTAACTTATTATTTTAAAATATAATTCTTATTAAATAAAACCTCTTTATAATGTATTTTTTATGCATATTAAAAAGCAAAATCAAATGAAACATACTTTTAATATTATAAATAAAACTGAGTTACAAACATAAGTGAATATATGGTAGATTAATTTGTAATAAAAAGGTCCCTGTAAATATGCCATGCATGACACTTTTATTGTTTATTTATATGTGCTACAGTATGACACAGCCTACAGGTACATATGTTGGAAAAAATATTTTTGTTTTATTCTTTAAAATTTTAAAGTTAAAAAAAAACTCCATATATATTTGGAGGTGCTCCTAATTACAGGAGGCTCATACTAAGAAGAAGAAGAAGAAGAAAACTAGTATGGAATTACATTACTAACATACATGTGAACCTCCCGACAGGAGTACATGTACAATAATCCCATTTTCAGGGGTCTCCTCCCATCCTCCTGTTGAAGAGAAAAAAATCCTGTGTATGAAATATTTCATGAATGAAAACTTTCAGCCGCCATATCCGGTGTAACTGACATTACCTGAAGTTAAAACAATATGAATGAAATATAAATTGAACAAAATAATCATAAAAGGATGGTATTAATTTGATTTTAAATGTCTTGGGAAAAATAAAAAAATAATAGTTTGGAAATTATTTGAGGGTTCTGTACTTCTTTTCAAGGCTTAAATTGAAATTTATTTAATAAGTAATGACCTTTATCAATAGATTCAAATTATTCAATTACCCTATGGTAAAAACAAATTATTTAAATGCCCAAAAAGGCGCAAGCCAGGGCCGACCCTGCGAGGGCTGTATAGCCAGTCAAGGTCGTTAAAAACTCCCATCATCATCATCATCATCAATAGATTTTTACCGACCGTGCAAGGGCTGTATAGCCAGTCAAGGTCGTTAAAAACTTCCATTTGTTGTCAATAGATTGGTGCAAGGGCTGTATAGCCAGTCAAGGTCGTTAATAGATTATACCAACCGTACTCCAGGGTTGTTAAAAGCTTCCATAAACTATAACAGTGTTTGCATGTTTAATAGCAAGAAAGAATTTTCCTTCTGCAGTGATTGCTGTATACAATAAAGACAAAACAAAAGAAAAAAAAATCATATTAAAGAATGTATGAAAAACAGAATGTTTGATTGAACATGTTGAATAAAGTTAAAGAAAATTTAAAATTACAAGGGTACTATAAACATATTACATTCGGATGGAAAGTTGAAGAAAAAAAACACTTTAAAAGACAATTTCTACATCACACTGTTACATTTACGACAAAATTTATGTCGATAAAAAACCTCCTGATCTGAGTCCTAATCTCCTAACCAAAGTTTCCCAATCTCCTGATCTGAGTTTCACAGTCTATCACATGTATGTACTAATACTTAGATAAACAGGGTTGGCAAACACCTGGGTTTAAGAATATTGCCCTGCTCATTGGGAAATCATGGGAAACCCAGGTTCTACTGGGTTAAACTGGGTAATATGAAATACTTGCCTGAATCTTTTAGATGTTTCAGTGATCAAATGCAAGATATAAAAGATATAAATAAGATATAATATTTATAAATTTTAATTTATAAGTTTAATATTTTGAAACTCTAAGTCTTGTTATAAAGTGTATAAATTTAAAAGTTTGGGGAAAAAAAGACAATTGGCCCACACCCAAATTGTCCCACCTTCTTCTCAGGGAATAAAAAATCCACTAGCCTGATGCCCGGGACTAGAGCATTTACGCCTCGGGCAATCAAAACTTGCAACCCAATATGCCCGACGGACTAGTAACAAAAAAATCTTGTCATTTCCAAAATAGAAATAGTGGAAAATCCCTTCATCACTATTCTATCTTAGCCAATCAGATTCAAGTACGTCATTTGGGATTCCAAGAATTTGAACTGATTTTGTACATGTTTTAAAAATAGAATAACTAACTCTGGGTGGACCGGTATCATGTATTGATTGCAATTCCCATACTTCCTATATCAATTTCTCAGTACAGGGGGGTGTTGTAAATTGCTTATGCTGAAGATTTTCAATTAACGGTACTGAGGGGTATGATGCATTGATCTATATTGACCTGTCTTGTCGGACAGCTGTTGAGCACGAAATCATGCAACAAAATATTTCTAAATATTTTAGTATGAGCACCCCAGGAACTTCTGTCAGTTTAAAAACGAAAAACGGTAGATGAGGGGATTAATGAGGCTGACAATTCATCCCCCATAAATGCCAAATATGACCGGAAAAAACGGAAAAGAACATTTATAGTGTCATCATGGACAGAAAGATTCCCCTGACATGGCAAGGTCCGCTGTACATATTGCTGATGATAAACAAGAGACGGTGTTTTATGAATATTGCTGTTATTTTCCCTATCAAGCTAATAAAAAGTCTGCTCTAAATGGCGGAACAACAAATATACGAATTGAATCACATGACAAGACCAATGAACATGTTTTCTTTGCCGAAAATATTTAGCAACCCATAGTACAATGGAAATCCAAAAAGCTGTCTCAAGATCCTTGTTATAATTAATAATACAAAGAATTTTATTATTTATTTTATTGAATACCGTGTATAATGCTGCCTTCAAAATAAGGGATACCCTTTTTGTCTTATGCAGCAAACTCTGACAACATTTCAGTGATGATTGTTGATTGATAGTCAACATTTCAATGATGACAGTTGGTTGGTCGTCCACATTTCAGTCATGACAGTTGGTTGGTAGTCAACATTGCAGTGAAAACAGTTGGTTGGTTGTCAACATTTCAGTGATGATTGTTGATTGGTAGTCAACATTTCAATGATGACAGTTGGTTGGTTGTCAATATTTCAGTCATGACAGTTGGTTGGTAGTCAACATTGCAGTGATAACAGTTGGTTGGTTGTCAACATTTCAGTCATGCCAGTTGGTTGGTTGTCAAAATTTCAGTGATTACAGATGATTGGTAGAAAACATTTCAGTGATGACAGTTGGTTGGTTGTCAATATTTCAGTGATTACAGTTGATTGGTAGTCAATATTTCCATGATTTCATTTTCAGTGATTACAGTTGATTTGTAGTCAATATTTCCATGATTTCATTTTCAGTTATTAAAGTTAGTTGTTAGTTAAATTTTCTGTTATTACTGTTGGTTAGAAGTCAACATTCCAGTGATAACTGTTGGTTGGTTGTCAATATTTCAGTGATTACAGTTGGTTGGTTGTCAATATTTCAGTAATAACAGTTGGTTGGTTGTCAATATTTCTGTTGATTGGTAGTCAACATTTCAGTGATGACAGGTGGTTGGTAGTCAACATTTCAGTAAAAACAGTTGGTTGGTTGTCAATATTTCAGTGATGACAGTTGGTTGGTTGTCAATATTTCAGTGATTACAGTTGATTGGTAGTCAATATTTCCATGATATTAATTTTACAGTTGTTTTGTAGCCACCATTTGAGTGATGACAGTTGATTGGTTGTCAATATTTCAGTGATTACAGTTGATTGGTAGTCAATATTTCCATGATATTAATTTTATTTATTAAAGTGAGTTGGTATTCAAATTTTCTGTGATAACTGTTTGTAAGAAGTCAACGTTTCAGTGATAACTGTTGGTTGGTTGTCAAGGGATAGATGTTGTACTCTTACATTTTAACAGTAAACTAGTAATGACTAGTAAGGGAGCTACCATTTGATTTTTATCGGGGGGGCTTGGATGAAATTTGAAAAAAAGTCAGGACAGGAGTTTTGAGTAAAAAAAAAGGCAGGATGAGCAACTTGGCAAAAAAAAGGCAGGATGACAATTTATGTAAAAAAAAGTCAGGATAAACTAATAAAAAAAAGGCAGGACAGAATAGAGTGAAAAATAAAAAGGCAGGACAGAGATTACAACTAAAAAAAATGCAGGACAAAATTTTTCATCCTAGCCCCCCATAAAAATCAAATGGTAGCTACCTAAGATGTTATTGACCACAGTTGAACAGTCACGGTTATTTACCTCTATTTGACCTATTGAAGTCAGTTCAAATCAATTTAGTCTATTTTGAAGAAAGTCTTCACTGTTTATTGACAGACATCTGTATATAGTTATTGAATTTCTATTTTGGCTGTTGTAATCGGAATGTAAACTTGATTTCCTGTCGTTGACAACTACTGCTTTATTGATTATCTGTCCTAAAGTTACAATAACCATTATTTTAATTAACACAATTAAGTAATTAACATTCCTGTGAGGTAAATAGTTTTTTGTGTGTCTCTGCTAATTAGTGGCTTGTGATGAGTAATTTTCGCCTAGATAAGGAAGGTTTTACGGAGTTATAATCAGATATTACAGATTAGTATGCCTTCATTTGTCAGTAAGTTAATTATTTATAACATTCATTAGTCAAATTGAAAACCATGAAATAATACTAGTATTTCTGTTATATTGTATTTAATTGATTTGGTAATATGCAATGTAAATATAACATTCTGTTGGTACCAGTATATAAATTGAATAGAATATGACATATGTACTGTGAATTCCCTGGGTGGATCCAGGAATTTCGGAAAAGTTGGGTGGCAGTTGCAAACTCTCCTGATATATTCCGCTGAGCTGAGGAAGGCAAAAAATTACTTGAATGATTTTATGATGAAAATAATATTTCCATTCAAAGGGGAAAGCATCCTCTACCACCTCTAAATTCGTCACTAGATTTACTTAGAAAGTAATTCTCATGGATGTCACAGATATATGATAACCATGAATTGAGTTTAAAAAAATCCTTTGAGATTGAAAGCAAATTTTCATAAAACACTTGTTCAAGTATCCACGAAAATATGAAGTTGTCTCATTTTTTGATGAGGGTAATCTTTAACTTAGTGTATAGAAGTTGTTACCTCTTGCTGTATGCAGGAGTTGTCTCCCCTTTCTATGTGTAGGAGTTGTCTCCCCTTGCTGTGTGTAGGAATTGTTACCTCTTGCTGTGTGCAGGAGTTGTCTCCCCTTGCTGTGTGTAGGAGTTGTCTCCCCTTGCTGTGTGAAGTATAGGGGTTGTGCAAAAATAAAGTATCTGCGAAAATAAGTTGGTTTACAGTATATTCCTATATTTCATAATTACTTAGTAAGTAATTTAACCCTTTTTAATTACTGAAAATTCAGAAACTATTACGATAGCAAATGCTGCATATAAATGCTGCTTTCAAAATTTAAAATATAAGGTTTAATTTTATTTTTGTTGTAAGGCTCTTATGGTCTAGTCAAAGGCTTGCACCTTTTCCAAAAACAGCCAATGACCACAAGGTACAGCAGCTAAAAATGTACAAATGTACCTACAGGCTTTCTACCATCATTATTCATTGTTATTGTTTCATTGTCTATCTCTCTTGATATATTTAACAAATTGTTCAACTCCCCTTGTTGACACACTGCACCTGGTGACCTGACCAACTTTCCCTTGTTGAAACACTGCACCTGGTGACCAACCAACTTTCCCTTGTTGATACACTGCACCTGGTGACCTGACCAACTTTTCCTTGTTGACACACTGCACCTGGTGACCCAACCAACTTTCCCTCGTTGATACCCTGCATCTGACCAACTTTCCCTTATTGACACACTGCACCTAGTGACCCGACCAACTTTCCCTTGTAGATACACTGCATCTGACCAACTTTCCCTTGTTGACACACTGCACCTGGTGAACCAACCAACTTCCCCTTGTTGACACACTGCACCTGGTGACCTGACTGACTTTCCCTTGTTGACACACTGCACCTGGTGACCTGACCACCTTTCCCTTGTTGACACCTTGCACCTGGTGACCTGACCAACTTTCCTTTGTTGAAACACTGCACTTGGTGAACAAAACAACTTGCCCTGGTTGACACAATACACCTGGTGAACCAACCAACTTTCCCTTGTTGACACTCTGCACCTGGTGAACTGACCAACTTTTCCTTGTTGAAACACTGCATTTGGTGATCTGACCAACTTTTCCTTGTTGACACACTTCACCTGGTGACCTGACCAACTTTTCCTTATTGACACACTGTACTTGGTGACGTGACCAACTTTTCCTTGTTGACACACTGCATCTGATCAACTTCCTTTGTTGACACACTACATGCACCTTGTGAACTTTCTCCTGTTGACACACTTCATTTGGCCAATTTTCTTGATGACACACTGCACCTGGTGACCTGGCCAACTGTACCTTGTTGACACATTGAACCATGTCAATTTCTCTTGATGACACACTGCACCTGGTCAACTCTCTCGTGATGACACACTGCACTTGGCCAACTTTCTGTTGATGACGCAATGCAGCTGACCAATTTTCTCGCAATGATGCACTGCACCTGGCCCACTTTCTCTTGATGACACACTGCATCTGCTCAGATAGTAGGAGTTTCACCTCCCGAACAGACTTAAAAGTTAGAATACTATATATTTTAGTTTAGGATGCTAGCAAGAGTGAATGGAAATATTTTGTGATCAATATAAAATTTGTAGGTGGATTAAAGAAGGTTCATATGAGTGTTTTAGGTGTAAAATATATACTTCCATGTCTGTAGAATGTATTTCAGTTGGCTGTCACAATGAAGGCTAACGATACTGTAGAAAATTTGAATACATTTATTAACCGAGATATTTGATTAATGATTGATTGTATCCCTAGATAATGGGGGAAGGTATAACTTGTCTTGATTGGAGCATCGAAGCAATAAATTAGTAAGGGTACTCTTACAGAGTTTTCATGGGAAATGAAATTGGATCATTCATTTTCAAGAGTCTATACCAATATCATCATTTTCCTACGAGATTTTATTCATATATTTTATGATCAAATATGAAATAAGTTTGATTACATTAATATGATATAGTAGGCCATTGATTGGAACTTAATTCTGGTTTGATTAATTTTGGTCGTTAATTTAGCTTTATGTATATCATAAGTTATGAAATCTGGTACATATCTATTTCAAGTTAATTATAAGGATTGCGTTGGGTCTCTTTTGTGATTTCAGTGGGAATATTTTACCAAAATTATAGTCTTTTTTTATCTGGTCATAACAGAAAACTAAACTGACAATAAGTACCCATTAAAACTGTATTGATAAGGTGAGGGATGGGTGGTTTTCATTCCTTTATTCAATTTTTAGGTCATTACTTTTTTTTTTGCCAATTTTTCGTTAATATACTCTTTATTTCAATACCCATTATTCTCTGATTTGTATAAACCCCCATACAGACCCTCATGGAGGTTCATGTAGTCAAATTGATTTGCATCATATTCCTCAAAATTTTAAAAAGTTGAATAATTTCTAAGTTTTCGTGTAAAAAGATATGTTGAAAAAATAACACATCTAACAAGGAAAATCATGTAAAAATATAATATGAACAACACTTTTATCAAGGAAAATTTATATTAACCATTTTTAACATGTTGATCATGATGTACTCTAAGAACCATCACTGTTAGTTTGAATAAACTGCATTTTTTCCCACTAAACGTCAAATTTTTGTCATGTCGCGACAAACAATGAATTGATCTTGATCTACTGGGGAAATTAAACAGCACAATGTTAGTAATTCCAATTTACTAATTGAACAATCATTTGGGCGTTTGTAACTAATATTATGTAGTAGTTGGCTGTGAAAGCTTTTTGATAACACAGATTAAATTCTTTAATTAAATAATAGCACATGGGACTTTGATAAAATAATAATGGGAGAGGGATTCTGTCAGATGTATTGTGGGTAGGGTTATGTTAAAATGAGTATCTTTCATAGAAAAGGAAAAATTTATAATACAGTATTGTCTGTGACCAGCAGAGGTTACAATGGAGTAGAGACATTTATTTTATTATGCAATTAATATTTATATTCCTTGAAAAGTTATGGACTTTGAGATTTAATTATTATATTAGAATAGTTTTCAAATATTAATATACAATTAAATGAATTAGTATTTTAGAATAATATACTGAACAGGATTATGTTTTCATCTGAGGTGTATTAATTTCAATGGATTTTTAGTGAATGTTTTCTGGATATCCAAGGGGAACAAACTAGTGTCTTCCATATTGCTCAAGTTATTACTGCTATAACTATTAAGTGGCTATTGACCTTTGCCCTCTGAACAGTTCTTTTGATATATATATAATTGGAGTTTTGAAGAATTTCTCCTATATGTAGATGATCTTTAGTTTATCTGGAGACTGAAACATCTGGTAACACTCTTTTTATGGATTCTAAATGATCTGGAGTCCACACACTTCATTTGCCAAGATCTATTTGATGGAGCTGAATGTTTATCAGTGAAATCTGGATAAAACTTCTTCATTAGCAAATGAAATCCTGAAAATATGTGCCTTTACTGGTCACACAGTAATATGAATAGTGTTTTACTTCAGTTTAGACTTGCTGGATACCAATGAAAAAGACAAAATCAACTGACTTTAACTGTATAATAATTCTATATGGGATATTGAGAGCATATTCTGTCTTACAAGTGACAACATATTCAGAACCATGTTTGTAGTGAGGTAAGAGAGGAGGTCTTATTTCTGTGCATATAGTCATGTTCTAACTGACCTTGAACCAATTACAGGAGGTCTTATTTCTGTGCATACCGTCATGTTCTAACTGACCTTGAACCAATGATAGGTCTTATTTATGTGCATAAAGTCATGTTCTAACTGACCTTGAACCATTGATAGGAGGTCTTATTTCCGTGCATAAAGTCATGTTCTAACTGACCTTGAACTAATGACAGGAGGTCTTATTTCTGTACGCGTGCATATAGTAGAGTTGTAACTGACCTTGAACCAATAACAGTGCATATAGTAGAGTTCTAACTGACCTTGAACCAATAACAGTGCATATAGTAGAGTTCTAACTGACCTTGAACCAATAACAGTGCATATAGTAGAGTTCTAACTGACCTTGAACCAATAACAGTGCATATAGTAGAGTTCTAACTGGCCTTGAACCAATAACTGCATATAGTAGAGTTCTAACTGACCTTGAACCAATAACAGTGCATATAGTAGAGTTCTTACTGACCTTGAACCAATGACAGGTCGACAGTTGGTAGTAACGCGGGCTGTTGTTCACATCTCTGCAGATGGCACAGATAATGACAGACTTGTACAAGGTAGATTGATATTTTATAGTTTACTACTATACTGCTTGCATTGTATATTAAATCAAAGTAATTTTGACACTTAACTGCTTAGTGTTTTTAGTGTGTTTATTTGGTGATTCAGTTTGTATGTTGGGTGATTCAGTGTAAATTTATGGTAATTCAGTGTAAATTTAGGGAGAGTCAGTATGTATTTTGGTTGATTCAGTGTAAATTTAGGGTGAGTC